GAGGGGGACGGGGGGCGGGGTGGTGTCTCGACCACTGGAGCGGCACGGGGCACGGCAAGCCGGCCCAGCGAGTCCTCTCGATGATATTGCTCTTGTCTTGAAATGAACTCGCGAGAAAAGATAAAAGAAGCGAAGCGGCGGCGTCATTCCGGGAGCCATCCCGCGCACACACACGCACGCACTCACGCGCACACACTCACACATCCTCGCTGCTGCCGTAGGAGCGGCGGAACGGGGCCGTGCACTTCCATGCCTCTTCCGTTTCCCATTTCAAGACGTACATTATCCCTTTCTTTCGGGAGCTCCACGACGGCGGCACCCTACCGCTCCTGTCGCTGTCGGCCCGTGAGGGTGCGGCAGGGCGTGGCGGGGCGGGGCAGGGCGTGGCGGGGCGTGGTGCGGCGGGGCGGGGCGGCGACCGAAAGGTGCTAATTACCTCGCCTGGAAGGCGGACGCGACGACCGACGACGACGCGGCCCCACGCGGCTCGGCAGGCCCACGACGCGACGCTCAGCGGGGCGCCCTCACCTTTCTCCCGGTCCGATCGGGCCGCGGGCCGCGCTCCCGCACCCCTTTGCCCAGTCCTATGGCCCCGCCCGCCTTTCTCTCGGACCTGTCCTCCCGCTCTCCTTCCTAGCGGCCTGTTGCGCTGCCCCTTCTCCATACGAGAGCCATCTCCGAGAAGAGACTTCGTGGCGCACCAAATGCTGCCGTAGATGCGACCGATTGCTTTAATTTTTTGTGATTTTCTTTTCCACCGGTAAAATGTTTTTTCTAGTTTTTCAAATTAAATTTTCTGCACGAAGTTAAAATGACATAAAAGTTATTTTTGGCGTTTGATTACACCTTGTTGGAGCAAATGAGTGTACTAGCCCGCTCGCCCGCACGCACAGGTTCGAATGGGTTCGCATATCTTATCCAGCGCTGGCGCCTTATGACCCCGTGCGAGTAGGCAACCCGTACGCACGCCTGCATGCGGGCTAAAATATGCATTTCTCCGACGGGGCACAGTGACCAACATATCCAGCTCTTTCCAGTGGCGTGAGGTTGACGCAGAGTTTCCAGCATGTGATCGGGAGCCCATCATCTGCACTAAAATACAGTCTTGTCTGGTCGGGTCGGATCCGAAGCTAACTCCCGGGGCGGCTCGTAGGCAGTCACTCTTGTTTGCAAAGCCCCGCCGTCAAAGCCGTCTTCGCGAGCTCGCTGCAACGGCGGTCACGGATGGAGCGTGTCCTTTTGGCTACCGTCATCACCGGACGATGAGCTTCACTTTGTCCTCGCGACGGGGCGGCCGCGACGCGTGGTGTGTGCGCGCAAGTAAGAGACAGTCGGGGGCCGCCGTCGGCGTCAGGGCGCTGGACAGCGGGACACGGAAGGGCGTTCGCGGCGATCGCGACGGCGAGCTGAGCGGTCCGTCGTGGAGGTGCTCGCGGCCGCGGAGACCCCGGCTGGGGACGGGGCTGATGGTCGACGTACCTGTGTTGTTTTGTGAGATGGGAGGTCCTCGGCTATCCCTAAGCACCACTACACACTGCTAGCAAAGACGTCTGTGTTGCGCGCGCGTCTGTCGAGGACTGGTGGCCGAGGCTGCGGTAACGGCCCGCCCGCCCGCCCGGGGCCTCCCCGCGGCTCCGGCGGCGCCCCGCCTCGCCCCACCGCGCCCCGCCGCACCGCGGCTCGCCCCACCTCTCCGCCCTACCTCACCCCGCCTCTCCGGGGCCCCTTACTACCGCCTTTCTTCCTCTCTGCTCCCCCAACGTCTCCCCCTCCTGCCCCTTGTCCCACCTCTGCACCCTTGCCCCTCTGCCCCTTAACCTCTCTACCCCCTCTCTACTCCTTTCTCCCTACCTCCTACCCGCCGCCCATGCTGAAAGGGCATGTCCAGTGATTCGGAGGGAAGACAGGGAGAGTTTCTGTTGACTTAGCCGAAGAGGGAGAGAGATGGACGTCCGACAACTACTGAGAGCAAGACGAAGAGACATCGTGAGGAGAGGGAGAGAGAGGGTGGGGGGGAGTACGGGGCAGTAACCTGCATGCCGTGACGTCACTCTTGAGAGTGAAGCGGTGGACGTTACTGTGACGCCTGGCCTAACCGCCTTCACATAACGCTCGATTTGACACGCGTTTGTCGCGTGTGACGCGACACCTCAGCGAGGAGGCCATTCGAGGCTGCAGCGTGGTCAGCGCCCCCGAGGGTCAGCGTCTCTCCGTACATTGCTCTCGTACAAATTCGACGAGGGTCAGCGCAGGTTTTTTTTTAGCATTTTTGCGCCAAACAATGCCTGCTTTGTGAAGTCTGTTCGGTATCGTCAGGCGATTGAAGTGAGTTTAAAATGAATTGAACGCCTTCAACCTTCAACATTGCCCTCCGATGGTCGTCACTGCCGGATGTGAGAGTCGCACCCAGCGAATCACGACTGTCGTGTAAAGGACCTGTCCCGACCTGGTCTTACGGAATCTGAAAGTCAGTGTAAAGAAATGAGAGGGAGCAGGAAGCCATTCTGACATTCTGAATGATCATTTAATGCGCAATACGTAATCATCATTGCATTACGTTCGATGAGTGTAGTATTTGTCGCATTCTGCTCTTTGGTGTTCAATCTCTGTTCTTTAATTCCGTCAATCACGGTGAAACTAATCGCGATGCAAAATTCTTGATGGCTAAAACAATCTTAACGGTTAGGAGCGACAAAACGATCCAAAACGTTTATTGGGATGGTCTTGTTTTCCAAATCGTTTCGAAGGCGCTGCTATCAGCTGATAGCTTGGAGGCGATCGGGCCACCGTTCCAGGTGGGCAGGTGGGCCCTCTCCGGGGTCTGGTGGGGCGGGGCGGGGCGGGGCCAGGGCCGGGCTCGCCATGCCTTCACGTGATTGGTGTGGTAAGGTGGTAACGGTTCACCGACTGGGGTCGCCTGGGCTGGCCTGGGCTGGCCTGGGCTGGCCTGGGCTGGCTGGCTGGAACGCATATCATCTGCTTGGCTGGCAACGGTCCCTCAACCGTCTGTCGAGCCACGCCGTGCCATGGAGGCGCGTGGCCCAGGCGTGGGGCCCAGTGTGGAGCGCAGTGGGGCATCCTGGGCCACCGGACTTAACTAAACTGTGGCGCCTTTACTACACCTCCCCCATGCCTCGCTTTGCCTGGAGATACTGTAACTGGCCGCGTATTTGCACTTAGTTACGTGGGTACGTGAGCAGACGTCCAACTACACGACCGGTTTGTCACCTGACTGAGATTAAAGGGAGAGGCGTGCAGGCTAGTGACAACGCACGAGAGTGCTCGGTGATGGTGATAATGATGATGATGATGTTGATGATGAGAGTGGTGAACCGGTCGAGAGTCGTTTAGTAATGAGGAGCGTCCTTGACTTCTCGCTGGTGACAAAATACTGCGCGAAAATGGTAATCTTGTTTTTGCAGGACTCGGTGCAAATACATGATTGGTGGCGGCACAGTTCCGTTTGGGCGCTCTGCCACACTGGACGGGTAGGGCGATAACTTACTGATTTCGCCGATTTCGCTGTTCCAATACTCGGATTAACTGTAGCGAGCAGGGCAAAACTGAACGGGGAACGCCGCAGCAATCTGGATGATAGTTCAATAACCAGCAGGGGGGGGGGGGAGGTATTTAGGGCGACGGCCTCCTCTTTGTTTTGGGGGCAGTATGAGCTGGTTGAAGTTCGACTTTTGATGTTGGAGGGGAAGGTCAGCGTTAAAGACTCTGCGCACATCCAAGGAGCCGAACGATGCCCTCTGGCGGAAGTTAATAACTGTTCCCTCTGACCGGCCAAGCCAGCCAACAGCGCGCCCCGCCCCGCCCCACCCGTGGGTGCGCCACGGTCTGGTGGCCCGGAATGCTGCCCCCTACTGGTGTGGCGGGGCGGGGCGGGGCGCGGCGGCGCCGATCGCGGGCATGGCCGAGGTGAGGTGGCTCGACCTGCCTCGCCACATGCATTTGCCCCGCCCCACACCACCACCCCGCCACGCCACGCCACAAGGAGGAGCATGTTTGCCCCTCTAAACACACTGGGGCGCGCGCAAAGAGAGTTGTCGCTAAACGGTCCCCTCTCCGTGTGGCGGGAGACTTGTGCGGGAGGCTAGTCATGGTCGCCGCGAGTCCGTTGGGCAGCAAACACCGCGTCGTGGAGTGCCAGTCCCCGACCCCCC